AGGGGGCTGGGCGCTGGCTCTGGGGTGTCTCAGGCCAGGGCAGGGCGAGGGGCCGAGGGAGCTGGGCGCTGGCTCTGGGGGGTCGGGGGGTGGGGGGAGGCGAGGGGGGGGGGGTAGGGACTTCCCCCCCACAGGGATTTTACTCTTGAGGGAAAGCAGCAGCGTCTCGTACAGCGGGCAGTGCTTGGGCTGAGCCGCTGCACGTCCCATCAGGAGATTTCACCTCCCCCAAAGGCAGGGACAGGAATGGCTCTGGGGTTTGTTGTTATTGTGACGGGAAGGGGCTCCCGGGGCGCCCGGCGGATGAAGGCGCCGGGAGCAGAATGTCGCAGTGGGTGGGCCGGGGGGAGCAGAATGTGTGACAATGGGCAGTGCGGTGCTGGGGTGCCCTAAAACCCAGAGCCAGCTGGGGAGCCGTGTCCCAGCGAGCAGACACAGCTACACAGTGTGAGGGGGCCAGATGCAGCAGGCTCAGCTCTGCAAAGCTCCCAATCTTCAGCACTGGGACACAAGACTCCCTTCGATTGGATAGCATGACACCCCCTTTTCTGGCTGCCGGTCGCCCTCCGGCTGTTTGGCACGAGGGTCCCATGGCCGTGCCTTTGGAGGGTAGAGCAGGGCAAATTGGGCATGTGGGAATTCCCAGCCTGGATTCACCCATGGAGCCAATTGCCTGAAGGTGGCAATTTTTCAACAGAAAGACTTCAAAAACAGACTGCAACGAGAAACTGCTGAGCTTGAATTGATTTGCAAATTAGATACCATTAACTCTGGCTTGAATAGAGACTGGGAATGGCTGAGTCATTACACTACTTGAATCTATTTCCTTATGATAACTATCCTTAACCTCTTGTCAACTGTCTATAATTGACCATCTTGATTATCACTACAAAAGTTTTTTTCCTGCTGATAATAGATCATCTTAATTAATTAGCCTCTTAGAGCTGGTATGGCATCTTCTCTGTATGTATATATATACACTCTTATTATATATTCCATTCTATGCATCCGATGAAGTGGGTTGTAGCCCACGAAAGATTATGCCCAAATAAATTTGTTAGTCTCTAAGGTGCCACAAGTACTCCTGTTCTTTTTGTGGTCAGGTCGTGCAGTGGGGGGAGTGGCACTATATGTGAAAGAAAATGTACAATCAAATGAAGTAAAAATCTTAAGCAAATCCGCATGTTCCATAGAATCTCTATGGATAGAAATTTCATGCTCTAATAAGAATATAACATTAGGGATCTATTATCGACCACCTGACCAGGACGGTGATAGTGATGATGAAATGCTAAGGGAAATTAGAGAGGCTATCAAAATTAAGAACCCAATAATAGTGGGGGATTTCAATTATCCCCATATTGACTGGGAACATTTCACTTCAGGACGAAATGCAGAGATAAAATTTCTCGATACTTTAAATGACTGCTTCATGGAGCAGCTGGTATGGGAACCCACAAGGGGAGAGGCAACTCTAGATTTAGTCCTGAGTGGAGCGCAGGAGCTGGTCCAAGAGGTAACTATAGCAGGACCGCTTGGAAATAGTGACCATAATACAATAGCATTCAACATCCCTGTGGTGGGAAGAACATCTCAACAGCCCAACACTGTGGCATTTAATTTCAAAAGGGGGAACTATGCAAAAATGAGGGGGTTAGTTAAACAGAAGTTAAAAGGTACAGTGACTAAAGTGAAATCCCTGCAAGCTGCATGGGCGCTTTTTAAAGACACCATAATAGAGGCCCAACTTCAATGTATACCCCAAATTAAGAAACACAGTAAAAGAGCTAAAAAAGAGCCACCGTGGCTTAACAACCATGTAAAAGAAGCCGTGAGAGATAAAAAGACTTCCTTTAAAAAGTGGAAGTCAAATCCTAGTGAGGCAAATAGAAAGGAGCATAAACGCTGCCAAATTAAGTGCAAGAATGTAATAAGAAAAGCCAAAGAGGAGTTTGAAGAACGGCTAGCCAAAAACTCAAAAGGTAATAACAAAATGTTTTTTAAGTACATCAGAAGCAGGAAGCCTGCTAAACAACCAGTGGGGCCCCTTGATGATGGAGATACAAAAGGAGCGCTTAAAGACGATAAAGTCATTGCGGAGAAACTAAATGGATTCTTTGCTTCAGTCTTCACGGCTGAGGATGTTAGGGAGATTCCCAAACCTGAACCAGCTTTTGTAGGTGACAAATCTGAGGAACTGTCACAGATTGAAGTGTCACTAGAGGAGGTTTTGGAATTAATTGATAAACTTAACATTAACAAGTCACCGGGACCAGATGGCATTTACCCAAGAGTTCTGAAAGAACTCAAATGTGAAGTTGCAGAACTATTAACTAAGGTTTGTAACCTGTCCTTTAAATCGGCTTCTGTACCCAATGACTGGAAGTTAGCTAATGTAACGCCAATATTTAAAAAGGGCTCTAGAGGTGATCCCGGCAATTACAGACCGGTAAGTCTAACGTCAGTACCGGGCAAATTAGTCGAAACAATAGTTAAGAATAAAATTGTCCGACACATAGAAAAACATAAACTGTTGAGCAATAGTCAACATGGTTTCTGTAAAGGGAAATCGTGTCTTACTAATCTATTAGAATTCTTTGACGGGGTCAACAAACGTGTGGACAAGGGGGATCCAGTGGACATAGTGTACTTAGATTTCCAGAAAGCCTTTGACAAGGTCCCTCACCAAAGGCTCTTATGTAAATTAAGCTGCCATGGGATAAAAGGGAAGGTCCTTTCATGGATTGAGAACTGGTTAAAAGACCGGGAACAAAGGGTAGGAATTAATGGTAAATTCTCAGAATGGAGAGGGGTAACTAGCGGTGTTCCCCAAGGGTCAGTCCTCGGACCAATCCTATTCAACTTATTCATAAATGATCTGGAGAAAGGGGTAAACAGTGAGGTGGCAAAGTTTGCAAATGATACTAAACTGCTAAAGATAGTTAAGACCAAAGCAGACTGTGAAGAACTTCAAAAAGATCTCACAAAACTAAGTGATTGGGCAACAAAATGGCAAATGAAATTTAATGTGGATAAATGTAAAGTAATGCACATTGGAAAAAATAACCCCAACTATACATACAATATGATGGGGGCTAATTTAGCTACAACAAATCAGGAAAAAGATCTTGGAGTCATCGTGGATAGTTCTCTGAAGATGTCCACGCAGTGTACAGAGGCGGTCAAAAAAGCAAACAGGATGTTAGGAATCATTAAAAAGGGGATAGAGAATAAGACGGAGAATATATTATTGCCCTTATATAAATCGATGGTACGCCCTCAACTCAAATACTGCGTACAGATGTGGTCTCCTCATCTCAAAAAAGATATACTGGCACTAGAAAAGGTTCAGAAAAGGGCAACTAAATTGATGAGGGGTTTGGAACGGGACCCATATGAGGAGAGATTAAAGAGGCTAGGACTCTTCAGCTTGGAAAAGAGGAGACTAAGGGGGGATATGATAGAGGTATATAAAATCATGAGTGATGTAGAGAAAGTGGATAAGGAAAAGTTATTTACTTATTCCCATAATACAAGAACTAGGGGTCATCAAATGAAATTAATAGGCAGCAGGTTTAAAACAAATAAAAGGAAGTTCTTCTTCACACAGCGCACAGTCAACCTGTGGAACTCCTTGCCTGAGGAGGTTGTGAAGGCTAGGACTATAACAGGGTTTAAAAGAGAGCTAGATAAATTCATGGCGGTTAAGTCCATTAACGGCTATTAGCCAGGACGGGTAAGGAATGGTGTCCCTAGCCTCTGTTTGTCAGAGGGTGGAGATGTATGGCAGGAGAGAGATCACTTGATCATTGCCTGTTAGGTTCACTCCCCCTGGGGCACCTGGGATTGGCCACTGTCGGTAGACAGGATACTGGGCTAGATGGACCTTTGGTCTGACCCAGTACGGCCTTTCTTATGTTCTTATGTTCTTATGGATACAGACTAACACAGCTGCTACTCTGAAACCAATCAATTCAGTTTCCCATCTCCAAACCTAGCCAATAGCAGCTTCTTCAGAGGAAGGTGTGAGGAAGCACGGAGGAGGCAGTGATGGGATTAACGTGCCCCAGAAGAGCTGCCGCCTGAACCCAGCAGTCAGGGGTGCACTCCTGCCCTGAAGCAGGAGGGGTCAGAGCCCTCCCCAAACTTGTATTTGTTTTAATCGTTACTGTTCTAGTTCAGTCTTGTTTCATTCACCATAGAAACAGTGCTAAGCTTTGGCCTTGATAAAATCATGTGGCAGGGAGTTCCACCGACTGTGCATAGTATGAGAATGCATTTCCTTTGGATCAGTTTTAAATGTGCTGCTTTTCAGTTTTATGTAATGTTCCTGTGTTATGAGAGTGAGCGGCAGCACCCGGGAACCTCCTTTGTCCTAGTCACTATCATGTTTTCCCTCTGTCATGTTAGCTCTCCTTTGTCTCCTCTCTGTCTCCCCCTGCACATCTCTACCCATCCTTGTCACCCCTTTGCGAACCCCTCGACTCCTGCAGTGTCTGGTTTGAAGTGGGATGGCCAAAACGGAACCCAGGCTCCTCGGGAGGGCTTCACACTGATTTATATAACATACCAAAAAAACGACGTGAAGAGAACGGTAAGAAATAGTCAGGCACTCAAAAGTTAGGAAATACCAGTTTGCCCAGACAACAGCCGCTTTGTACATCAGCCCCATGCGACAGTCTCTAATTCCACAGTCACCGACAGCTCAGTCAGTGCATACAGGCACTCAATGAGGCCTCAGTCAGTGCACTCATTGAATGCCTTGTTATGCAATATTTGCTTTTATGCTCATTATTCAGGCGTAGCCCTGGGCTTTATTTACTGTACACCGTTTAAAGCCTGCACTGAACACAGAGCTGTTCATTTCCTCGTGGGTTTCTCTAGGTAGCTCTTCCTGGAGTATTTTAGTGGGTTACAAATATTCATGAGTTCATGTTCATGGAAACCCTTGGGAAGGGCGCTGAAGAGAGGGAGGAGAATGATCTGCCTAGAACATCTGCCTTATGGTGAGAGAAAGCAGCTCAAGCTATTTAGTTTATCACAGAGACGGCTCAGCAGTGACTGGAACGTGGAACAGAAGTTATCCGTACGTGGGGCAGAGATTTCTGGAAGCAGCCAGCAACTTGATCTAGCAGCCAAAGGCAGAACAAGACTAGAAATCAGGTGTAAATTTTAACCAGGAGGGGAATTAACGACTGACCTAGGGATGTGGTGGAGTTTTAAAGTCAAGACTGGGTGTCTTCCTCAGAGCTCTGCTGCAGCGCAGCCAACAGTGACACACATGATCTGCAGGGCCCTTCTGCCCCTAAATCCATGAGGATGAAGTGTCCCCATTTTACAGGTGGGGAACGGAGATGCCGAGGTCAAGGCCAGATCTGTCACAAGTGCTGGCTAATTTTGGATGTCCTATTTGTGAGGCCAAGGGTCTGGTTTGTCAGAGAACTTGGGGTTTGACAGCACTGTCCACGCTCAAAGCCCAGCTCCCACTGACTGCAGCTGTGAGCGCCCCGCACTTCTCCAAATCTCACCCCCGTCGTCTCGAGTCAGGCACACAGAAAATGAGGCGCGCACCGGATCTCTCTGTGACAAGGCTGGTGTAGGTGACTTGCCCAGCATCACATGGGACCCGTGTGGCAGAGGCAGGGACAGAATCTCATCTCCGGGGCAGCATTCAGCTGTCTTCCCCATGAGACCGTTCTCTCTCTTCCTGCAGTCCCCTGCCTCAGTCACTCTGCACCTTCCAGCTTCTGCAACAAAGGAGGCAGGGGTCCTACGGCCCACGGCTCATTCCCTGCACAGCCCCAGAGCAGGTCTGTACGGAGCACTGAATGAGATGGGGCCTGTGGGAAAATCGCAGGTGATCTTGTAGTTAAAGACATGGACCTCACTGCCTTGAGATCTCGCTGAGGCCAACAGCTGAGCGGGGTTTGGAAAGGGGCCGAGTGTTCCTGTGGGGAATGCGAACAGCCGGAGTCAGTGCGCGAGGAGAAAAACACAGCACAGGAGGGATCTAACCCCTGAGCTATGCAGTCCCTGCAGGTTTGGGGCAGAGAAAGAGGCTTCCCTCTGGGTCACGGGAATCCGATCACAGACCCTGCTCTGTTCCTCTCCTGGTTTGTGGGTCTGGCTCCTGCGTTCCTGGCCTGGGGGAGAGTCTGACCCTGCAGTGCTGTGCGGGGACCCATCCTGCTGACCGTGTCCCTCTTTCAGTGCGTCCTGTCTGGATTGTGGAGGAATGAGCTGGGCTCTAACATGACCATCTCTGCCGTGAACGCCGAGGGGGGATTCACCGGTTCGTACCACACGGCGGTGACGGTCACCGACAAACGCAGCCTGGTGTCGCCCCTGAAGGGGTCCCAGAACCGCAAGAGCCAGAGGAAGCAGCCGACCTTTGGCTTCACCGTGAGCTGGACGTTCTCAAGTATGTGGCCCGAGGGTTCGGTGCCCGGGGGGGAGGGGAATGGAGGGGAATTCAGTGCTAACCAGGCTGAAACACTTCCCCGCCCAGTTTCTGCACCATCCTCTGCTCTTCCGGCCCCTTAATGCTCAGCTCTCGACAGTGCCGGGGCTCTGAGCCAGAACTGAACAGATCGGAAACGAGATACAAAAGTACCAACCTCTGGGGCCCGCCCATCGCTCACCCTGGGCTGTGTCTCCGAGGCTGTGTGGTCAGAGCTCCTGGGGTCCATCCTGGGCTCTGCCTGGGACTTGCTGAGCAGCTCCCCCATCACCTCTCCACCTGCTCACGGGGACCCACCCCGCCGGCTTAGCGAGTGCTCTGGGGACGAGAGGCGCTGGGGGGCACCGCGAGCTGCTTTGTCTCCACCCTGGCTTGTCCACGGCAGCCTGTTGGGGGCGCTGGAGAGGTCTGCGCGTTCCAACCCCAGTGTTGCTATGAACTGTTAGTCACTGTCTGTAGTAGGTAGTGCCGAGACCCCTGTGGTGCTAGGCGCTGTACAGACCCAGCCCCTGGCTCAGCGCTCAGCCATCCCGTATGCACAGGGCACTTGTGGGCCTCCCCAGTCTGGGTGCGAGGCCTCGCTCAGCCGGACGCGCTGGGGACCATTACTGGGAACTGCCTCCTGGGGGGCTCCACAGCAGCAGGCAGGGGTGGGGGCAGCAGGAGCGTGTCCCCCTGCAGACGCGGGGGCTGTGAGACACAGGGGTGGGGGGGAGCCTGGAGGAGGGAGTGCAAACCAGAGCCATCCAGAGCAGACTGAGGAGTGGGGACGGAGCCTTACGGCTTACTGGGCGGGGGGGGGGGGAAGCAGGGGAACGTGAGGCAGGAACTTCCATTCAGCCTCTGCCTCCAGCCCCATCCCTCTGGGGCACCTGGCATGGCCACTGTCGGCAGACAGGACACTGGGCTAGATGGGCCTTTGGTCTGACCCAATCTGGCCGTTCTTATGTTCTTATGAAATGTGGCAAGTTATAAACAACTGAGAACAGGGTCTTATAATGGAAAACGTCAGGCGCTCTTAACTCTAGGTGCTGCTGCCAGCTCCACCTACAACATGACTTTCTGTTCTATTCTGTAGCGGTTCCTTCCACTCCAGTCGTGCTTTAAGCAAGTCCTCCTCCTTTCCTGGGGTCTGGGCTCTGTCTCTTGGGGGCCTCCCTGACGTTCACTCCTGTCCGGTTCCCCCGCAGACTCGATGACCGTCTTCGTGGGCCAGTGCTTTGTGGATGATAATGGGGAGGAGATTCTGAAGACCATGTGGCTGCTGCGCAAGGAGGTCGGATCCCCCAGCGCCGACTGGAAAGCGACCAGGTGGGTGACTGGGCACAGACTAGCCAGGAGCGAAGGTGCCGCCTGCGGAGCTGGGGCTGCAGGGCCTGGGCCCATCTCTGCTCGGCGCTGTGCCAAGGGCAGGGCTGGGATCCCGGCTCCGAGCGCGGGAGATGTAGGAAAACCAGCCTGCGGGGACAGGGCAGGGCTCTCAGTCCAGAGTCACAGACCCGTGGGGACCCTTCGTCCTCCAGTGTCTCGCTGGGGGAGGATGAAGTGGTGTGAACTCGAATGCAGGTTTATTCCCCAAGGCTGCAGAGTTCCTTCGGCCCTGTCACACCCCAGGGCTGTGATCTCGGGGGCCCGAGCCAAGTCCCCCCAGGCCTGTGAGAGACTAACGGGGAAGCAGAGAGGGGGCTGGGACAGCTTGTCACTGGGGAGCAGCCCCTGGGACAGAACCATCTCCGGGGGTGCAGGCGGCTGGGGCACCTGGAAGCACTGGGGGAGGCTGGATAATGAGGCTTCGGGCAGCCCTGGCAAAGCCATTCCCTGCTGTTACCCCGGGCCGGGCCCCAGCAAAGGCCGAGTTGCCCCATGACGCACACACTGCTGAACCCTTCCCCTCATGGGGCTGCTAGTGCCCCACGGCCCTGCCCGCCTTATGGAGGGGCCCACAGGGGGTGGGGGAGGGAGGCTGCCTGCCCTGGGGGGGCACCAAGGGGAGCTTTGAGCGGGTGGCTGCTGATGGGTCCCTGCCCCCAACAGCCCTGCTGAGCACCACGGGGACGTGCAGCCTGTGGAGCCCTGCCCACCCCCGGGTGCTGCTGGGTGGCTCTGAGGCCAGGCCAGTGCGGGGTGCCCACAGCCATGCTGCCTCTCTGGGCTGGGCGGCTGGGTGCCCCTGTGAGGTGCAGCCTGGAGGAGGCGTTTCCCCAGGCAGCGGTGCTCAGGCAGGTGGCCTGGGAGGGGGTGTCCTTCTTTGGTCTTTTCTCCTTCTGAGGCTGATGCACTTTCTGCCCCTTCGTCCCCCTGCCCTGTATGGGGCAGCACCGAGCACATGGTCTGTGCTGGGCAAATAACAGGTGAGAACAAACCACAGAGGGAAAATACCAGGTGCTGACGGGCTGCTCAGTCTAGCAGGGAAAGGCAGAACAAGAACCAATGGCTGGAAGCTGAAGCCGGACAAATTCCCATCAGAAATAAGGCCCAAATGTTTAACCCTTGGAGCAAACAGCCCAGGGCAGCGCTGGGTTCTCCAGCTCTTCATGGGCTTCAGCTCAAACCCGGCTGCTTTTCTGGAAGATGCTTCAGCCATTCCCGAGTTACTGGGCAGGGGCCGGGGGCAGTGTGGCTGCCCTGTGCTGCACAGGAGATCAGACTGGATGAGCTGAGGGTCCCTTCTGACTAAGGGTAAGATTCTGTCCCAGGGATTTTTAGTAAAAGTCAGGGACTGGTCGCGGGCAATGAACAAACATTCATGGAAGCCTGCAACAAACAGAGAAACAAACAGAGCCTGCCGGCGCTTGCAGCTGCTCCTGCTACAGGGGCTGACCCAACCCCAGCCGCTGCGCCAGCAGGCTGGGGACCACTGCCCACCGACCCCAAGGTTGGCTGCCGGTCAGCTGTTCTGGTGCCTCCCCCACCCCGGCCGCAGCTCCAGAGACCCCAGTGCTGACAGCTGCTCCATCCCTGCCCCAGAAGAAGTCCTGGAGGTCACGGAAAGTCACAGAATCTGTGACCTGGCTCCGTGACAGAATTGTAACCTTACTTCTGACTGTCACTCTATGAATCTATGAATTCTGTGCTTCCCCGCAGGGTCGGCACAAATGTTTTCACCCGGATCAAGTGATGGAACGTGGGTGAATCTGTGAGGAGCGACGGTGTCCGGTGACCCAGCAGCACCGTGACCCCACTCTGCAGCCCCAGGGCTCCTGGTTCCCCTGTCCGGAATTGTCCTGGGCTCTCTCGAGAGCGTCTTGCCCGGCCTCAGGGCTGTTTGCTGGGCTGCAGAGGCGCCGTCTCTGACTCCATCTCCCCTCGCTCTCCGGTTACACCCACATCCCAGAATCGCTGCCTGCGCCCCCCACGCTGCAGTTTAGTTCCTTTCCCAGTAAAGCTCTAGGCGGGAGGCAAATGAGTCTCTTGTGTTTTTATCACTCTTGGCTCTTGGGGTGAAGCTGTTGCTGAGCCGTGATTCCCACCTGCCCCTCTCTGGATTCCCTGGGAGGTGCCGGATTCTCTCCCATGAGCTGGGCCCTTCCTGGACGCCCCTTGGCAGGTTCATCCCCCTGGCTCGCTCCTTTGCTCACTGCCCATTGCCTGGGGCACAGAGTGCAACAGTCGCTGTACAGCCCCGACGAGACGCCCTTCCTGCTAAACGGCCCTTCGCTCACTCAGGAGGTTCCTGTCCAGCGCTCTCAGCCCAGGGGTTCGTTTCTCTCGGGCATCCGGCGCCGCCCACCTCGAGTTCTAGGTACCAGGAGCCAAATAAACATTTTCCATCGGAAAAACGGCTGTTCTGTGTGGTTCTCCCTTGAAACCCTCCACGGGCGGCGTAACGCTCCGGAGGAACCCAGCACGGGGAAAGGGACGGGCAAACCTGTGGATTAAAGCTCTGGAGATTCAAAGCCACATGTTCCCGCCCACCCCTGACTAAAATCCCACTGCTGCTTGGATCCAACTGGAGGAGCTGGGAACCCTGCCCCCCGCCATACAGCAGGAAGGGAGAGGCCTTGAAGTGGGACCTGAGCTCATCTCCTGGGATTTGAACAGCCCACGGAGCATGGGGCTGGCTGGCCCTGTGCAGAGGGTGGAGGGGTCAGTCCCTGGGTCAGGCCCACATTAACACACTGGGGCAATAATCCAAAGGGGGAGGGAGGCCTCTGGGGAGCAGGAGCTGCTCCACCCCCATGGGGGGCAGCTAGTCCCGGAACCCACAAGGGCAGAGGCAATTCTTGATTTAGTCCTAAATGGTGCACAGGACCTGGCCCAACATGTGCATAGAGCTGAACCACTCGGTAATAGAGACCACAATATAATTAAATGTAACATCACTGCGGGGGGGGGTACCAAAGAACCTCCGCACTGTAGCATTTAACTTCAGAAAGGGGAACCACACAGAAAGGAGGAGGCCAGTTAAACAGAAATGAAAAGGAACAGTCACAAGAGTGAAATGCCTGCAAACTGCCTGGAAACTATTTAAACACCATAATAGAGGCTCAGATTAAATGTATACCTGAAATAAAAAAATTGTAAAGGGACCAAAAAAAAAAAAAAAAAAAGGGGAAAAGAACAAAAAAAGGGGAGGGAGAAAAAAAAAAAAGCAAAAAATAAAAAAAAAAAATAGTGAGAGAAAAAAAAAAAAAAGCCACCGTGGCTAACAGAGAAAAAGAGGAGGTTGGAGGCAAAAGGTACCTTTAAAAATTGGAAGTCAAATCCTAGTGAGAACAAGAGAAAGGAGCATCAACTCCGGCAAGTGAAGTGTAAAAGTGTAATTAGACAGGCCTATAAACAATACGAAGAGCAACTAGCCAAAGACTCAAAAACTAACATCAAAAATGTGTTCAATACATCAGAAGCAGGAAGCCTGCCAGACAATCAGTGGGGGGCACTGGACAATGGGGATGCTAAAGGAGTACCACTTCTTCTTCGTATGGCTGATGGAAATGGAGAGCAAGAACTATAAATTTACATTCACATGGTTAAGCAAGATAACTGCGTCAGGAGCAGCGGCGTGTATCATTGTGATGCCTCCTTCGTATTTGTGAATTGGGCATTGAGTCATTATATGATCCATGGTCTGTTCTGGGTAACCAATCGCACACTGGAGAGTCTTTAATTTTCCATTTGTGCAGCAAGTATCCCCATCTGCCATGGTTTGTGCGGATACGGGTTAGGGTTCCAATGAGCTTCATGGGAGATTGAAGCCAGGGATCTTCTGCATCGGGTTTTTTACGAGGTATTTATTTGTGACTTCTTGTGAACTTCATTCGGCTTTCCAAGCTTCATCAGGGTTGAAGTTGTTGTGACGTTGCACTCTATATGATTTTATGAAAATATGCTAATGTAATTGGAATATGCTTCATGCAAAAGGTCTCTTGTAAGGTATCATTACAAAGCTTATAATCTATTGAGTGTGATCATCCTATTTGTATAAATGTATCACTCTTGTATCTGAACCTAGAAATATGAAATATAACTCTGAGGGCCTATTGTAATTATGCAAAGTGTGTGGGCCATTAATGGTGGTTTGGAATCTTGATGGCTCCCATCAACCAGGACAATTGTCTGTAGATGGCTCTGTTTTACCTGTAAGTCTTCCTGTATACCTGTGTGCTGGCAAGTGGATAATGAAGTCTTACAGTGACATGTGATCATGTCACCTGAACTGGAATTCATCTTTAACCTGGTGCTTTTCCATTCAGAAGGGGGGGGGGAACCCAGAGGGACAAAGGATTCCCGCCTTATGCAAAAGATATATAAGTGGGTGGAACAGAACAAAGGGAGGGCCATCATGAGAAATCCCCTAGCTACCACCTGAGCTGGAACAAGGGCTGTACCAGGGGAAAGGATTGTGCCCAGACTAGGAAGGCGTCCAGTCTGTGAAAGAAACTTATTGAAATATCTCTGAGGATGAGATTTTATCTGTATTCAGTTTTATTGCTGTACTAGGCTTAGACTTCTGTATTTTATTTTATTTTGCTTGGTAATTCACTTTGTTCTGTCTGTTACTACTTGGAACCACTTAAATCCTACTTTCTGTATTTAATAAAATCACTTTTTACTTATTAATTAACCTAGAGTATGTATTAATACCTGGGGGGAGGGGCAAACAGCTGTGCATATCTCTCTATCAGTGTTATAGAGGGCGAACAATTTATGAGTTTATCCTGTATAAGCTTTATACAGGGTAAAACGGATTTATTTGGGTTTTAGACCCCATTGGGAGTTGGGCATCTGAGTGTTAAAGATAAGAACACTTCTGTAAGCTGCTTTCAGTCAAGTCTGCAGCTTTGGGGCAAATAATTCAGACCCTGGGTCTGTGTTGGAGCAGACTGGTGTGTTTGGCTCAGCAAGACAGGGTGCTGGGGTCCTGAGCTGGCAGGGAAAGCAGGGGCAGAAGCAGTCTTGGCACATCAGGTGGCAGCTCCCAAGGGGGTTTCTGTGATCTAACCCATCACAGTTGTATTGTTGAAGGCTAAATGCGAGGGTCCAAAAGGGCTCACATGACTTCAAGCGATGGTGAGGGACGTTGCTAAGGTCCTGGTGGATGGAAAAACGTTTGTTTTCCATGATCCTCTGGAATTCCCGAAGGGTTGCAGCATCATGGCCAATGGATGGGGGAGCAATGTGTGACAGCACTGGCAGCCAAGGTGTTGGGGTCGACTTGAGGGTTCCAGTGATGCACCACATTGCAGTGTTCAGCTGGACATCAACAAGTCGAGTGTGGCTACTTCTGGTCCATACTGGTGCACAGAACTCGGCTACGGGGTAGACAAGGGCCCTTGCTGACGTCCGTAACACTGACGCTGATGGTCCCCAGCTTGTGCCTTCCAGTTTCTGGACCAAGTTGACCCTTGTCTTCATCTTGGCAGCGACCTCCTTCAGGTGGTCGTGGAAGGTTAGTGTGTGATACGGCTTCCCTCCGGGATAGGTTGGAGTGGGGTCATGTTGCACACTGTTGCCACAGAAGGTCACTTTCAGAGTGCGCTCAGCATTCCTGTTATCAAGATGGAATGCGGTGCTGTGGTTTTGTGAGGATTTGCCTTGAGCCTCCCTCTCCGGAAATATTCCTCCATGGTGTTTAGGTCCCCGTTCAAGGTGGACTCGAGGTCCTTGAAAGTGGCTGCTTTCATTGCCAGGGCAAGATCATCCGCATATGCAAATTTGCACGACTTCGTTGGAGGCATGTCGCTCGTGTCGACATTGAAAAGTGCCGGTGCAAGTACTGAACCTTGTGGCAGCCCGTTGTTGAGGAATTGGGGCGAACTGACTTTGTTGCCCAAGTGGACACGTGGAGCCTACTGCTCAGCATCATCCATAGCAGATGTAGTGTTTTGTGGCAGTGGATGATCCTTGCGAGCTTCAGCAACAAGCCTTTAATCCATGTTGTAAGAAGATGATGGGTCTACAAAGCTGCACCGGTCTCAGATTTCCTCTGGAATCTGGCCTCCATGTGCGTTACAAAGGCCAAAACTTGGTCACAACAACTGCATTAAGCCGGAAAGACAAGGCCATTGCAGAGACACTAAATGAATTCTTTGCATCAGTCTTCACTGCAGCAGATGTGAAGGAGATTCCCACACCTGAGCCATTCTTTTCAGGTGACAAATCTGAGGAACTGTCCCAGATTGAGGTGTCAATAGAGGAGGTTGTGACGTTCCTGTGTGTGGAGATTAATGGAAGAAGGAGGCACACATCAGGACCCTAGGGGGGCTCTGGGTGATCGCTACTTCCCACCACCCAACACAGATGTAATGAGGTTGAGTAGTGTCCACAAAAGAGAAACTAAACAACTAATTATCTGTGCAAGCAGTTCCCTGCAACTGAGGGGTGTGAAAGTGATTTAATCAAGGAAGTTTCAGTTCCTAACAGCCAGAAATTTTCTGTTGTGAATGGATCCACTGACTTTCCTTTCGAAAGATCCAGTGTGGATAGCTTTGAGAAGGTCTCAGATGGAGTAAGAGCTGTTAAGAAAGTTGAGCAGCCCTATAACCAAGTGGCTGTGTTTGGCCAGCTTGTTGGGATGACAATGGTGTTGGGACAGGACTGTCTCCATTCTGATTCTTTAAGTGAGCAGTCTGTGCTTCAGGGTCTGAGGACAGATTTGGTTACTGGTGTTTCAAAGCAGAACAGTTTTATGGCTGAATGCTTGAGGATGCAGGGGAGAGCAAGAAAACTCTCACCCTCAGACTCTTTGAATTTGTGTGGTATCTCTGTAAGACAGAGTCCAGCCTTGGAATTGGTAGCAGCTGAAAATTTAAAAGCTAGTGTCTGTGTTGATGCAAATGACAGGGCTGACAGGGAGAAGAAAGACTTGCTAATAGCTGTTAGCACAGAGAGCCCACCCCATCAGCCAGTGAATTCTGTTGAGCAAGAAAAATCAGGATTTACTCCTTCAGGACAAGGAAAAAGAAGAAAACTTAATTTTGCAAAGGGAAGCCACAGGGTAACCCTAAAAGGCCCAAACTCCAATGGTATTGAGCCAAAGGTGTGGCATGACAAACATGATTGTAAATGGACACTTGCAATGAATTTGTTGTTGCTAATGGTAATTTTTCTAACTAATGTGTTGCTATTACCAAGAACTGTAAAAATGTACAATGTGCCTAATCTTTTGGAAAATCCCTTGAACATGTTGAAAATGATACATAAGAACACACCTTATGTTAAAAGGCCTTATAATGCTAATGTTGCACAGTTAATGCCTGTAAACAGTCTTGGAACTTTTCACAAGAGAAAAGACATTCCAGACCTGATGTGCTGCGTGAAAAGGGAAACTGAGGCACACTACCATATTGCTTTCATGGCTAAATGCCAAGATTCCTGTACTATGAACAACATTAATATCTACATTAACTTGATGTTAATTGGGTTCCAAACATTTGTCAGAACTTGTATGGATAAAGTAATTATTTTCTTTAGCTCTTGGCAAGATCACATGAGACATACAGGAACCATGCTGCAAGAGCAGATCCAATCCACTATTGTTCTAACCAAGTTTTACCTTGAGTTTGTAAAAAGATTCAATCATGTTATTGAACATGACTTTGGTAAAACCATTTCTGTTATGCACTGACATGGCTTCTAACCCAGTACAAGCTGTAGTGAGACAGAACCCAGGATGGGGAGCTCTTGGGATGCAGTCAGTGATGTTTGTGTCATCCCTTCCTGCATCAATTTGCGTTGGGGGTGTGACATTATGAGTGTCATACAATAGCTCATTGGAAGGTGACAGGGCCAGAAAGAGTTAATTACCTCCCAGACTGACCTGACCCATGGGCGAACTTTAGTGACTGGTTAGGAAGATCTGTAAATGAATAGAGCTTTGAAATGCAAGTCTGCATTGTTAGAGATCTCAAGGGTAGATGTTTGCTCAGGGCTTGTGATGTAAGCAAACAAGTCTTGTCTATTGCTATAGTTTTAATTCGAAGATCAAAAAAGGAATATTAACATTTAGGAAGACACTTGAGGGAAATAGTATTATTGTC